GGGCGCTGCCTCTTGATTTATACTTCAGAAACTCGTTGGTCTGCCCTTTGCCATCGGCCCTTGGTGCTCACAGTCCCCCTGTGGTACTTGCTGGACCGGACTGGGACTGATTGGACCTTTCGCTGACTGACTGTGGACTCACCGCTATCCTACCGCCGTTGTACTGCTGTTGCACTGCGGTTTAGTCCACCACTTGCCTCACCACTTGACCACTTGCCCACTTGCCTACCTTCTAGAAGGTCAACAGCTAAGCTTCCGGAACTCACTAAGACTCCTATGCTATAGACCTACAGATCGAACCCTTGCTGCCTATGGACCTACGACAGGCCTACCGACTGCCTACGAATACACAGGTCACAGGTTCAATTCTCGGGGTCTACACAGATACTGTACATGGGTAGGGTGAGGTCTAGGGATCGAACCCTGGGTACTGCATCCGCCACTGCTAAAAGGTGAAAATCGTTTCACAGGGTCCGCAATGAGTTCAGATTCCGTATGCAACAATGCGAAACGACTGGAATACTTTCTCCTTCTTTTTGTTTCTTTTTTTTTTTATAGAGCTACTAAGCTATATATTCTTCGCTCCCATTCACCTTTCACTACCCACCTGCCGCTACTCCTAAGCTATACAGGAGAACCGTGCAAGCATAGCTACCTCTCCTTTGTGTTAATACATAAATAAATAAATAAATAAATAAATAATATCACTTCCTCCCATGCTACCGTAGTAGCGCTGGTAAGCGCAGTCACTACTACCACCCGGGCGGGGAGGCTCTGTCTATTGGTGGGGAGCATCACCTGCTGGAAACCGGGGGCTAGGTCCCACTTACACGAATTAAGCGATATTGACCGTAGATAGCAAAGATCAACAGCCAGAATCTCTTAATCCGTGCAAGTGGGACCTTGCCCTGGGTCCAGCGTCCCATATATAGAATGGTACAAAAAAGTGACAAGAGAGTAATTGAGATGAGAAATGCCTGCTAGCATTGATTATTCTGGCCTCCAGAGGATTGACTGAGCAGGCTTGCAGAGAGGGGAGAGCATAGCTACCTCTCACGGTGAACGGGATATTGCATGTTGCCCCTTTAGCTAGTGGTTTACAGTCTTCCCCCGAATACAGCGTACGGTCATTAGAGCTGAATTTGGTGTATCTTTCAGTCTAAATTCAGCTATAATGACCGTACGTTTCGGGGGAAGAAGAGGGTGCAGGGTTGGACCCACCGGTGGGAGCACGGAAAACACAAAGACCAAGTATTTTGCCAGTAGCTCCGCCTCCATTTTCTTCTCCTCCCCCCCCGCCAATCGAGTAATAGTAGTGTCTAAGGCCAACATTCTCCCACACGCCGCACACAACACACACACACACACACACACACACGCACACCTCTTTCACACACACACGCATGGGCCCGACTGGGGGGAGCAAGCCGACTCTCTCAGCTGGTTGGTACCAAGCGTGCGCCAGGCGGTATACTTTCTTCGTCTACATCTCTCTATACATACTAAAGCAAGCAAAGGGTCTGGCGACATGCTCGGTCGCGGGCCCAAGGGAAACTGCTTGGGACACAAAACCGAGGCGGGGGGGCGCGGGGTAGAGGCCGAGGGAGAGGAGAGGGCGACGAACATGGCCGCGGCTGGCGTGCAGGAGAGGCCCAGCGGGGCGAAACCCTGAGATTCGGGACACAAAACCGAGGCGGGGGCCGTCCGGGGCAGGCCGGCGCGACGAAATTGGCCGTGGCTGGCGTGAAGGGGGACGCAAGGAATGGCTGGGCGGCGCGGGCGCAAAAACGGAAGCGGGCGGGGCGAGGCTACGCGCCTAGAGAAAAGCTGGCCGCGCGCAGGAACACGTGTAGGGAATACCGAGCCGCGCCGCGAGGTCGGAGAGTTATCGTCTCTCTCTCTCTCTCTCTCTCTCTCTCTCTCTCTCTCTCTCTCTCTCTCTCTCTCTCACACACACACACACA